TTACCAAATTACAGACAAAGTGGTAGGAAATTACCAATGGTTGTTGTTTTACATATTGTTATCTACAAGATAGTTTCTCAGGAAAACAAATAGACAAATAATAGTGAGTTACAGACCAAAAAAAAGATTTTTAAAAACATCTGGGGATAGGATCTGGCTGAGCGAATGAGTTGACCAGGCTGGGCTCAAAACTGCAATACTCATGGCTCAGTGTCCTGAGTAGAGAGGACAACAGGCCTGGCCATGTTGTCCACCATGCCCAGCTTGCTTCTGGAGTCTTTTAAAGCACATGAAAGCATGTTTCCCCCACAAGCACATTAAAACACCTCTCTTATAAAACATATTTATAAGCATAACTATGCCGTTATCACTGTGGACTGATAACAGCTCCTTTTTGCATCTAATGACCAGAGATGTGTTCAAATTTCCCTGGTGGTCTCAGATGTGTCCTTTTGGGCTGGGTCATGGTGGCAAACCTGTAATTCCAACTACTTGGGGAGCTGAGGCAGGAGGATCATTTTTAAGAGAAGGGTCTTGCTATGTAGTTCCGGTTGGTCTTGAACTCACTGGTGGTCTGGGCGTGGTTGCTGGGGTCCAAACTCATAGCAATCCTCCTGCCTCAGCCTCCCAAGTGCTGGGATTACAGCCCTTAGAGATGCTAGAATCTTAAACGTGAGCCCAGGGTATGCAATTTAACAACTTAGTGAGACCCTGTCTTGAAACAAAATAAAAAAGGGCTGGGTGTCACTCCGTTAAAGTGCTTGCTCAAGGGGCTGGGGATTTAGCTCAGCGGCACAGCGCCTGCCTGGCAAGCGTAAGGTTGTGAGTTCGATTCCCGGTACCAGAAAAGAAACAAAAAGAAAAGCGCTGGCTCAGCCAGCACAATGACGCCCCCCTCCCCGTTCATTCCCAACACCAAATAAACAACAAAAAAAGTCCTTTTACTGTTCCTGACTCTGTTCCTGCCTCTCTGCTATGCTCTTTCCTATAACAATTTCTGCCATGACCTCAATTTTCTGTATGCCTCCCCTCCCCTCCTTTCCAAAATAAATAAATAAATAAATTGTGCTCCAGGTGGGCAGGAAATTTTGTCTGTTTTCTTCACTGTGGTACAGAGGAGACACTCAAGTAATATTAAAGCAGTAAATCACGATACCACCTGACGTTTATTGAGAACTGTCTAATAGCATGATCATCGCTGCCATCCTATGGGACTTGGGCTATTCTTATCCTAATTTCATAGACCGGAAACTGAAACCTAGGATGGTTAAAATCTGGGCTGCTGTGTTTTCTTCTGAGACCCCATTCCACGTTTTGGGAGCATCTTCGACCTTCTCTTTTGAAGGCCTGCAGGGATTAGAGCCTTCCATCCGTCACTTCTACTTTTTTTTCTTTTTCCGGTGCCAGGAATCAAACTTATGACCTCGCGCTTGCCAGGCAGGCGCTGTACCGCTGAGCTAAATCCCTAGCCCACCTCTACTCTTGATACTTTACTCCAGCCACCCTGGCCTCTGCCATTTCGTAGCGAAAGCCCTTCGAGGCTTGGTGCAGTCTCCTTGCCAGGAAGCCACCCCTTCCTCGGGGTTGGTCTCTCTCCTTCCAATCCCTCTGCTGAGCTTTGGATGTCTCTGTCGGCTCATTTCTGTCTTGATTACCCAAGTGGACCCCTAGGGCCAATCGGCGCTTTCTCGCACATAGGGTGCTTTTTGGAACTGGCTGCGGTGGCACACACCTGTGATTCCAGCATTCTAGGAGGCTGAGGCAGGAGGAACGCAAGTGAGACCGGGGAGGGGGCGGGGGCGGGCAACATGGCAACTTAGCCAGACCCTGTCTGAAAAAGAAAAGTAAGACAGGGCTTGGGATATCTTCCCGTGCAAAGGCCATGGGTTCCACTCCCAGTACCGAAAAAGAAAAAAGACAAAAACAAGGTGTGTAACAGTGTCTGGGGTGGTTGCTGGCGTCCAAACTACAGTGGGTCGTGGGACCATTGAAAGTCCTCACATTGAATTGGCACTTTGTTGCATAAACGCCGGAGAGCCAGGGAAGGTTCTTCAGCAGGGCAAAGGTCAGGGCCCGTGCTTTCCCCTTGGGGAAGGAGTCGGCCTGTCCTTCCCTCGCCTTCCAATCCTTTGGGAAGCCAACAGAGGACGCAGAAGGAAACCTGCTCGTCGTCCTGGCAACCGATGGGGGGGAAGACCACCGAGACGAGGCTCCAGAGTGCAGAGGGGACGCTCAGGCCAGTGAGGCGCGAAGCGCTAGAGAGGCGCGCTGAGCCAATTGTCACGTGGGTGTCTGCGTGGAGGAGGGACTTCCGGCGCTGCGATATTTTCTTTCCGGTTACTGGGACCTGCGGGTTCTTCCCTCCTGGGCCCTGTGCCCCCCACCCCGCGGCCCCCCGCGGCTCCCCGCCGCCGGGCTCGCCGCCACCATGAAGAAATTGTTCCAGGAGATCAAGGCTGACATCAAGTTCAAGAGCGCGGGGCCGGGTCAGAAACTCACAGACTCCGTAGGGTGCGTGGCTGTGCCGGGGCCTGAGGAAGACAGGGAGGGGCGAGAGAAAGCCGGCGGGATCAGGGGCGGAGCGGGGCGGAGAGGACCGGGGCCCAGGAGGGGCGGCCGGATTCGGGAGATCTCGGTCCCGATGGAGGGGCGGAGCGTGGGGGTTTGAGGGCGTGGTCTGGGCGTGGGCTAGGGCTGGGTGGGGCTCTGGGGGCGCGGTCGGGGCGGAGCGTGATGGGTTAGCGAGACCCAGAGTGGGAGTTGGAGGAGTGGAGGCCCTTCGGGCTGGGAGAAAGGGGGCGTCTTGTGGCGGGCAGCGGACTGAGAGTAGTTTAGCCAGGAGGGGTGTGGGCGGGGAAAGGGAGACACCAGGGGCGGCGCAAAGTGGGGCCGGGAACGGCGTAAGAAGAGGGTGGGAAGGCGCTGGGAGAAGATGAGGCGGGTGGAGGTGCGGGGAGTTGGGGATAGATACTAGGACACCTCGGAGGAAGAAGCAGATGACAAGGAAGAGGCTTCCGGGGGAAGAGGGGGTTCCAGATGGGTTTGGCGAGGGGCTGGCGATTTAGCTCAGCGGCAAAAGCGCCTGCCTGGCAAGCGCAAGGTTGTGAGTTCGGTTCCCGGTACCGGAGAAAAACAAAAAAACAAACAAACAAACAAAAACAAAACAGATGGGTTTGGCGAATCTGGGTGACCGCAGATTTGGGGCTCTGCCCGGAGGAACAGGTATAGCCCCGGCCCTGGGATGTCATGTGAGGTTTCGTGTCCCCAGGAATAGGGTTCCTGGGCTCCGGCGTTGGAGCACGCGAGAGGGCTGGGAAGAGACTGGGAGAGGCTGTGATGCCCTTAAAGGTGTCTGAGGGATAGGGTGTGGGAGGGCCGTGTATGTCTGGGAGAGGCAGGGGGCTGGTGTGTGCGGCGTGCATCAGAGTGAGACCCTGGGGACACCTGGTGTGGACAGGACAGATGCCTGTCAGGTTTCATTGACCACCTGGTGGATAAGGTTTGCCCGGGAGGTGCTCTAGGAGGCCTCTGAGAAGGTGGCATTTGAGCATCGGCTGGGATGTGGCCAGATTCAGCGCACGGACGTCAGTCAGTCCCCTCCACCTCTGCAGCAACCCAGCCCCCTACCCCTCCCAGAACCCTGGGTGGCACAGCTTGACCAGAAGGCACAGGGAGCACAAGGACTTTGCAGTAGGGACCTGCTGAACTGGTATGCAGCAGGACAGCAGGGAGCCCAATGTGGACAGGGGGAAGGACGCTTTGGGGTTTTGCTCAGCGTGCCATGGGAGGGCAGTGTGTGGAGGTACAGGCCCTAGCCTGGGTCTCAGAAGGACTTTCCCGCTGCCCAGGGCAGGAGAGTCCCTGTCAAGTTGGTTGAGGTGTCTTGGGACACTCTGTCTCTAGGAATCACCTTCCTTACCCAGAGATCCTCTTCCTGGGAGGATGAGGGAGATGGGCAGGCTGGGGGAGGCGGGTCGCAGCCAAGCATCTGAGCTTAGCTCAGGGATTAGCAGTCAGCACAGAGCTCAGGCACATCCTAGTGCTGAGATGGCACAGCTGCTGGGGTCTGGAAGGGTCCCCAGGGACGAGGAAGGTGAGGTGGAAGCACCGGGGATGGCAAAAGAGGATCCTGCAGCCAGCTGATGCTGCCCATCACCTGGGCAGACAGGAGGTGAAAGCTCTGTCACATCACAGCCTGGGGACAACTGCTGCAAACCCCCAAAGGTTTTTGGAAGGATGGTTCCTGAGCACCTCAAGAGTACATGGGACACAGATATTTGAGACATGATCTTGCTGAGTTGTTAAGCTGCTTGGGTTGGGCTTGAACTTGTGGTCCTCCTGCCTCAGCCTCCCAGAGTGCTGGGATGACAGGCAAGTACCACCATGTCCGGCTGCATTAGCCTTTTGTATAGATAGGGATGCAAAGGCCTGGTTGGGCAAGATTTATCCTAAGGGGCAGACCCACCATTTCACGGCCCTGACCCCTCCGCCTGTATGCGCTGGAAAGCCAGGTACAGGGATGCAGGGATGTGTGTCTGATGGGGCAGGCGGCAGGAACCGGGAGGGGCAAATGCTGTCCCACGCTGGCCACCACGGGAGGCTGCTCACTGCCATCTCTGTCCAGGGAGAAGGCCCCCAAGGAAAAGGCGCGCCAGTCAGCCCCCCGGCAGCCCCGCCAGGGACCCACCGATGAGGCACAGATGGCGGCTGCTGCTGCCCTGGCCCGACTAGAGCAGAAGCAGCCCAGGGCCCGAGGCCCCACGTCACAGGACTCCATCCGGAACCAGGGTGAGAGTTGGCTGCCCTCAGGCCGAAGTGTGGGAGCTGGTGCTTGGGCCGATGGGAATGGGAAGGGGACCAGCACCACCAGGGCAGTTCATTCTCAGCTAGGAGAAGGTCAGAGGACCACACAGTGCCAGGCAGCAGTGTATCTGACATGCTGGGGGCAAGGTGACAGGGACAATTCTTGATGAAGGGCGGGTGTGCTAGGCCTTGGAGGAATGAAAGTGAGGTCAGGTGGGGACAGACACAGGCAAAGCCCATGGGAGGTCCTGGCCCCTAGAAGCACGGACCAGGGGACCTGGGGACAGGGCAGAGGCCTTCATCCCTTCCCATCTGTGCTCTTTTCAGTGAGGAAGGAACTTCAAGCAGAAGCGACTGTCAGTGGCAGCCCGGAGACACCAGGGACCAACGTGGTAAAGCATCCAGACTGAGGGATGTGTGGAAGGGCTGTGTGCAGAGCGTGGTCTCCGCTGCCCCACGGCTCCATCTTCTGCCCCCAGGGCTCCAGTGTGGTTGGGAGCCCCATAGTGCACGCAGAGGCGGGCTGGGTGCGGGCGTGTTGTGAGGAGGACTGTGGCGAGTGGAGGCTGCACTGGCCAGGTTAGCTCCAGGCTCCTCCTCATGGCCCCTGGAAGCAGCTGGGGGTGTAGCTCCCACGTTTCAGGAGAAAACAAGTTCAGAGCTGTGAGCTAGCTCCTCAGTCACGCGCCTTGGCGCTGGCAGGGCAGGAGTGGGACCATGGTGTGTGTAGATTCCAAACGGAAGAGACCTGGATGTAGTCTAGAACCTGAAGCACTGGGCGGGGTTGGGGTTGTACAGAGGCAGAGCTGCTGGGGGTCTCGTTCCCCGTCGGTGAATTGTGAGGCAGCAGAGGAGGGCGGGATGCTTTACGGACTGGGGCACCAGGAAGCCCTCAGAGGAAGGCCTTCAGCTACTTGGCTAAGAGGACTCCTGGCTAACAAATGGAGGGGACAGTGCTGGGGCTGCTGTCTGCCCTAAAGGCCGCACTCCACACCCTGGCTCGGGAGTGCTCTGCCCACAGTCCGGGCTCAGATGCCTTTGCCCCTAGGTATCTGGACCCGAAGAAGAAGATTCTACCCAGCTGCCAGCGTCCGGCGTGTACTTCACCTGCCCGCTCACGGGAGCCACTCTGCGCAAGGACCAGCGGGACGCTCACATCCGAGAGGCCATTCTGTCGGTGAGTGTTCACCCCTAGTGCCTGGCAGCCCCAGGCCCAGGCCTTACAGGGCCTGCACATGCCAGGCAGCTGCCCGATAGCACTCAGCTTGTTCTTGTTTCTGCCCCTGGTGTCAAGAGGGGACACTTAGGTGTGCCACAGGATTGTCTGCTCATAAGAGCAGATGGAGAAAAGCTTGTCCCCCCCCCCCCCGCCAACCACCCCACCTTGGAGACCCCTGCGAGTAGGTCAGGTCCGTCTCTGAGGTGCCTCTCGGTAGCACAGAAGTCTCCGCACACTGCGCTGGTGTCCATGGAGAGAGTCTTGTGCTGTTTGTGCTTAGTGTGGCAGCTGTGAAGCACTGCATCAGCACAGGAAAAGCTTTTGCAGGGTGCTTTCCTTTAGCTTTTAATTGGAAATTTTTTATTTTTAACTGAGAATTTGAGTTCAGGACCTCACGCTTGCCAGGCAGGCACCTTGCCGCTGAGCTATATTCCTGGCCTGTTTTTTTTTGTTTGTTTATTTTTTTGTTTTTTTGGGTTTTTTTGGTACTGGGAATTGAATTCAGGACCTTGCGCTTGCCACGCAGGCCCCTTAATTGGAAATAGTTTCACAACTTTAAGAAAAACTGTGGTTGGGTGTGATGGCACATGGTTGTGATCCCAGCACTGTGGGGAGGCTGAGGCGGAAGGATTGAGGGTTCAGTCCCAGCCTGGGCAACTTAGTGAGACCCTATTCCACAGTAAAAAATAAAAGGGGCTGGGGATGTCAGTCAGTGAGAAGGCCCTGGGTTTCATCCCCAGTACTGCAAAAAAAGAAAAGAAAAATTGCAATTTAACACAGAACACATAGACACCCTTTACCCAGGTGTGAGTTTCTGACACTATCATAACAAGCCCTGGTGCCGAGAGAATCCCGCAGCCCCGCCTCGAGTCCCTTCCGTCTTCTAAGCTGGCAGTGCTGGGCCAACTGTGCCTCTCTATTTCTTTCCCCTCTCTTGGGCCCTTCTGCTCACATGGATGGTACCTGGAGGAGGCAGGGCGCCCTTCCTGTGTTCGGGTCTGCTGCCTTCCTTCCCCTCAGCCATGACTTCAGAGGCACGGTTGCAGGTCCTGGCATGTGGCCTCCTTTGTCCAGTTGGGTGTCTGTCCACCTCCCCAGATTAGCCAGGCGGTAACAAGAGTGTTGCTCTGTTCTCTGTACCTCCCTGCTCTGTTTTCTTCTGGGCTGGACTTTGGGGAAGATTCTGTATTCCCTTTGGTGGCTCCCAGGGCTGCGCTCTGCGTAATTCCTTGGCTCTTAAAAGACACTGAAACCATTTGGGTGTATTGGCTATCCCCAGGCTTCTGATAGTAAAGCAGCTGTGCAGTGAGAAGCTTGCCCGCACAGCACTTCACACTGCAGGCTCAGCTGCAAAAGCCAGTTGTGGGGACAAAGGACACCCTCAGCCGTGATCCAGGTCCCCCTAACCAGGTGACTCCTTCCGGGTGGTCCCACTTCACAGTCCCTCCAGCAGAGCCAGAGAAAACGGCCTTCTCTCGCCCTCACTGTGGGCTGCCACTTTTTGATCTTCACCCAGATTAATAGGTGAAATCAGTGTCTTAGGGCAGGTTTAGTTTGCATTCCTCTTTCTTGGAGTCCGGTTTGCCATGTTTGCGTGAGATCGTGCCTTTTGTGTTTTTCGTTGTGTGCTTGCTTTTTCTTACTGATCTGTAGGCGCTCTTTTCACATTAGCGAGGTTAGACTTCTGCTGATCTGTATCTATTTCCAGCTCTGCATTTTCTGCTTTCAGTCTGTTTGCCAGATAGGAATTTATGGTCTCTGGGACCTAACTCTGTCTGACGTCATGGCTTCCAGTTAGGAATGCCTTTTCTACTTTCACTCTAAAATGATTCTTCCATGCTTTTCCTAGCATCCTTCTGCTTTCTTCTGTGTTCTGTCTTGCTTGTCTGAATGTTTGGAAGCGCTAACCCAGCTAGAGCTCATCTCCGAGGGTAGTATGAGGCGTGGAGCTTTTCCTTTACCCCCAGACCTGTTCAGTTTTCTTGGCCTGCTTCAGCAGGAACACCTGTGCTGCTGAGATGTGAAGTCTGACCTTCGTTACTGTGATCCTCATGTGGCTCCCCTGTGGAGGAAAGCTCCTCACAGGGCTGCTGTCCTCCCCTGTTACCCAGCCAGGGCAGGGTGCTGTGGCTGGCTATGGACTATACTTGTTGATCTGGTTTTTTTTGTTTTTGTTTTTTGTACCGGGAATTGAACTCAGGACCTTGTGCTTGTCAGGCAAGCACTTATGCCACTGAGCTATATTCCTGGCCCCCTGGCTGTGGACTATAAATAGCATGATGGCTTTGGCCTCAGGTGTCCAGTCCTTGGGCTCCTGCTGGCATCTGGGCCTCCCAGGGTTCCAGCTGTGACTGCCCCACCCCTGTGAGAGCAGGTAGGCCCAGGGAAGGGGTTGGGGTGTCTGGCCACCTCCACTTCTGTTTAGATATCGGGTCACAGACTCATGTGCGTTCCCCTGCCTGCTGTGTGCCCAGTGAGGGATGTATCACCTCTGTGTCTCATCCCACAGCCAGAGTGTGGCCTGGCAGGCTGCAGGGTGGTGTCAAGTGTGGGCGCCCAGGCCTCAAGGGCTCCGGGCTGGACTTGCTGTGGCTCTGAAGCCAGAGTGTGGGCAGAACTCCGGCCACGTCGGTGCTAGGGGTCAGCTGGGGTGCACTTGTCTTTCTTTTTGCTTTTGGTGCTAGGAATGGAGTCCAAGGCCTGTGCATGCCCTGCAGGCCGCACCTCCAGCCTTGTCTCTTCTCCTTTTTGGCCACCACCATGGGTCCCCAGAGCGGAGAGCAGCAGGGGGGCAGGGCTGGGTCTCCACAGGCTTCAGTTCAGTGCTGCCCTGCCCCAGGAGCTCCATCAGCACTGTTGCTGTCCCCGTTCCTGTCCCTGGGCAGCAGTGTGAGCGTGGCCTCAGCCTCCTCCCCCTCCCCAGCACTTCTCCACTGACCCTGTGGCTGCCTCCATCATGAAGATCCACACATTCAACAGAGACCGGGACAAGGTGAAGCTAGGCGTGGATACCATCGCCAAGTGAGCAAGCCCTGGGGAGGGGTTGGGCCAGTTGTGCCTCAGTTTACCTGCTGGTGAGACAGAGGATCTGAGGAGTTGGGGGCTCCCTTGTGAGGCATCCAGGGGACATGTGAGTGGGACAGGGTGTGGTGAGCGGATCAGGTGGGCCTGGACCTGCCTGCTGTTCACAGCCCCCAGTGATAGCCGCTGTCTGGTTCGGTCTGTTTCTCCTGATGGATCGGTTGGTGCCTTCAGGGGCAGGGAGGACTCCTGGGGGATCCTGGTGGGGACATCGGTTCCATGGGGCGCCCACAGGATGACTTAACCCAGTGGAGAGGTTCAGAAGCTGAGGCACCAGCAGGCCTGTGCCCCATACTGTCCTTCCCAGGTACCTGGACAACATCCACCTGCATCCAGAGGAGGAGAAATACCGGAGGATCAAGCTGCAAAACAAGGTGTTCCAGGTGGGCTGTGCCCTGACGCGAGTGTGTGGCTGAGACCTGGGGCATGGGGCCTGAGTGTGGGTTCTGGACGGGTCACACAGGACAGGTGGACGTAGTGGCTGTTCCTCCCAAGCTGTGTGACTCTTGAGTTTGAATTCTCTGAGGACACGTCTGAGTGGGAGGGTTTCATGCAGATACAGACTGGGCTTCCTGGAACATGGTGGGGTGCAGCCACCCTGCCTGTGCCTCCCCTGCAGCCTGCCCCTCAGACCCTGGTGGCCGGCTGGGGGCGCCACTGCCTCTGAGGCGCTGGTGGAGGCTGCAGGCTCTGTTCCCTCAGAACAGCATCCTTGGAGCTGGGTGTGGTGGTCCATACCAGTCCTCCAGGCACTTGGGAGGCTGAAGCAGATGCGAGTTTGAGGCCAGGCTGGAAAGCTCAGTGGGACCCTGTCTCAAAAGATAAAACAGAGGGGGCTGGGGATTTAGCTCAGCGGCAAAGCACCTGCTTGGCAAGCGCAAGGTCGTGAGTTCGGTTCCTGGTACCGGAGAAAAACCAAAAAAAAAAGATGAAACAGAAAAACATCCCAGGATGTTTGCTCTCAGTCTGGGGACAGGGTGGGGTGTGGTCTGGAGGAGGGGGCCTGTGTGACCTCTCCTCACCCCCAGGAACGCATCACGTGCCTGGAAGGGACCCAGGAATTTTTTGAGGCCATTGGTTTCCAGAAGATGCTGCTGCCCATCCTGGATCAGGGTGAGAGGAGGGGACCAGTAGCCTGATCTGAAGGTGGGGCCCACTCGGGCAGTGCAGTGACTGACCCTGTGCGTGTTCACGCAGAGGGTGTGGAAGAGGAGTACTACGTGCTAAGCGAAGTCGCGCAGGCGCAGCTGCAGAACCTGGCACGGCACCGCGAGCAGCTGCTGGCGGCGGAGCCAGTGCGGGCCCAGCTGGACCGCCAGCTCCGCGTCTTCCGGCCCTCACCGCTGGCCTCGCACTTCGACCTGCCTGGGGACTTTTTCAGCCTCACGGCAGAGGAGCTCAAGCGTGAGCAAAGGCTCCGGTAGGCCGGGAGTGCACGCAGTGTGGTGGGCAGATGGGCGTGCTGGGCGCGTGGGCCCTGACACCGAGGCTCCATGCTCCCAGGGCTGACGCAGTGGAGCGGCTGAGTGTGCTGCGCACTAAGGCCATGCGGGAGAAGGAGGAGCAGCGGGAGCTGCGCAAGTACAACTACACGCTGCTGCGCGTGCGCCTGCCCGATGGCTGCCTGCTGCAGGGTAAGCGGGTGAGCGGCGGGTGGGGTGGGGTGGGGTGGGGCTGGCAGGGTTCTGGCTGCCTGTTGCGTCCTGACGCTGACGGTACTGACCTGCAGGGACCTTCTATGCTCGGGAGCGGCTGTCAGCACTGTATGAGTTCGTTCGAGGGGCCTTGCAGAGCGATTGGCTGCCCTTTGAGCTGCTGGCCTCTGGCGGACAGAAGTTGGCTGAGGATGAGAATGTGGCCTTGAATGAGTGCGGCCTGGTGAGTGAGGGGCTGCAGCGGGTTAGGAAATTGTTTTGTTACCCAGCAGGCTCGGGGAGGTGGGTTGCTGGGCCCAGGAGAGAAAGGGGAGGCCTCTGGGTTGGCAGTACTTGGGAGAGGGTCCTGGGCCTAGCTCCTTTGAATTCCACCAGTATGGTACCCACCTGTAATATCAGCGTTCTGGGAGGCTGGGGCAGGAGGATCTTGAGTTGGAGTAATTTTGAGGCTTAATAAGACCCTGTCTTGAAAAATAAAAAAGGGTGAGGCCTGTGGCTCCATGTGAAGGCCCTATATTTGATTCTTGATACATACCCTGCCCTCCCAAAAGAATCCCTGTCACTTTGGCCTGCTCTGTGATGTCCAGGGATGTGTAACGGTAGCTGTTTCCCTCCTGGAGTGATGGTTCTTGGGGAGGATGTGGAGGCGCAGGTGGGGCCTCAGAGGACTTCAGACAGGCCCAGGCCTCCTGAACCCGAGTCACCCCTTGGAGGGGACCCCCGTGTGAATGGCCAACTGTGCCCAACTTTGTCCTCCTTTGCTGTCGCTTGGGAACAAGGTGATGATCTGACCACCCCCCCAGGTGCCCTCGGCCCTCCTGACCTTCTCGTGGGACATGGCTGTGCTGGAAGACATCAGGGCCGCGGGGGCCGAGCCAGACCCTTCCGTCCTGAAACCGGAGCTCCTGGAGGCCATTGAACAGTTCTCCTGAAATAAAGGCAGAGTTGGCTTCTGCCCGGGTCTGTCTTCTGCTCGCCTGTCCCTGTCCTGTCCCTGTCCCAAGCCATGAGAACCTCTGGAAGCACCTGTTTAGTGCAAGTCCCAGGCAAGGGAGGCGCTGGCTGGCTGTGAGGCTGTAGATCCAGGCTCACCCGAGACTTGGTCCCTTGGGGGGCTGAGGGGCAGCACTGTGCCAGTGCCCTGGAGCAGCAGGGCACACTGGTGGGCAGAGCTGCTCAGGCACAGTTCCCCCGTGCTGTGGATTGAGGTGGCCCATCCAGCACTGGAGCTGGTGACAACCACAGGGAAGTGCTGGCCTGACAGCACAGATCTGTAACTTCTAACTTATAAACCTGAATAAACAGATTTGAATACAGCGTTCTCTTGACACTCAAACCACGTGATGCAGGGCAGGCAGCACCAGGCCAAGTTTTCAAACCAGCTGTTTTCAGCAGGGCCAATTTGCCCGCACCCTGAGAGCCAACCCACACCTGAATAGAGAGGTCCCTTTGCGCCCTGCATGTTCATCGAGTTTGTCATGGTAATGTCCAAAGCTGGGTAAAGTAGAAAGGAAAGCAGTTCACCAGTGCAGTTGTACATTGTGGTGCTCAGTGCTGGCGTGGTCTTGCTGAGGGTCTTTATGGGTGTATCATGGCAGGTTGCACGGGGGCTCAGGAGCTAGAGCACAGGGAGGGCAGGGTGTCTGTGTTCCTTATCATTGGGAACACACTCCGTCCATCTCTTCTGGGAAAAGCGCTCTTCAGAGACCTCCCAGCAGGCACTACCCCTTAAAGGGCTCATACCTCCCTTTTACAGCCCTGAGGACCAGGTTCCCAACCTATCAGCCCTTAGAGAACTTGCTCAAACTTTATACAGTTCAAGGCACTTACAGGCCTGGTTTTACTGTGGTTTCCCAAAGACAGCCACAGAAGTGAGGATGAAACTGCTGTTTAGCCACTTGGTAGGTGGAGCAACCAGCTGTGCAGTGGCAAGGTGCCCAGGGCTGTGCTCTTGCCCCAGGCTGGCCCCATCCCTTCCAGCCAGTGCCTGCCTTTGCCATCTGCAGCCAGACTTGCAGCTTGGAGGCCCCAGCTGGCCATGGGTACTCATTGTGTTGAGGACCAAGGTGTCACTGGCCTGTTCTTTGCCAGCTGTTTCTAGGACACTGCTAGTTTGCCAGTGCCAACTGCACTGGCTTAAGGGGACCTTCAAGGGTGGTGGGCTGTACTCCCCAGCAGGAGGCTGGGGGCCTACTTTCAGCCAGATGGGAAAAGTCAAAGTGTTGTTGGGAGGGCAGCCTGGGCAAGGCCAGGGATGGATGGAGCTGCCTGCTTGGCTGTGTCTGACCAGTCTGCTCTGCGCAAAGCACCAGCCTCCCGTGTGGGCAGACGCCATAGGAGTCTGGTCCAGGTGTGGATGTGCAAAGTACCCAAACTTGGCCCCTGCAGGCCAGCTGTTGGGGTCGTCACAGTCTGGACTCTTTATCTCTAGACTGCTCTTCACACCCACCCTCCCCCGAGGTGCCCAGCGTGGATGTCACTGAGTCCGGACCCAGGACACAGCTCCTCAGCCACCCCCGGGGGAGGAGGAGGGAGAAAGCCTTACCTGCAACCAGCTCAGCAGGAGGACTGCTCAGCGCAGTAGGGCAGGCACTTCCTAGGGGCACCAAGCTTCCACATACACATGCTGGGGTACACCCAAAGACCCCATACACAGGAGAGAAAACAGACAGGCGGAGGTCAGGAGAGAACAAGTTTATACACTTCCACATCAGGCCAGAGTCCACCGGGGCCGCAGGCGCCTGGCAATTCAATTCATTTACATGTGTCTGACCCAGCACCTGCGTGCCTCAGGGCCTGAGCAGGTGCCTGTGCAGGTCACACCTCAAAATAATGCTTTATTAAAGGACAGATTAATATGCAGCTTTGGAAGGGAGATTTTTACAAATGTCAAGAACTAATCAGGCATCCATATAAATCCATATAAACCTTTCCAGACCCCAAGAGGCCTGCGAAGCGGGACAAAGTGCTCTTTACACAGGAGTTGGCAGTATGTTCAAGTATCGGGTGTGTGGGGCATTGGTCCACGGGCGCTGCCGGCTGCTCAGGAGGCGCCCAGCGGGCTTGCAGACAGCGGCCCCTCGCTGGTGTCCATCCCCACGGTGCCTTCGGCTCCAGATGTGGCTTCGCACAGGTCCTGGGCCTCTGGAGAAGAGAGAGGCTGCTGCGTCCACGGGCTCCCTGCCCTGTCGATCCTGGCACCGTGTTGCCCTGGCTCGTACCACATGCAGAGCCCCACCCCTTCTCTCCTTGAGCTTGCTCTGCTCAGCCATGCTTGTTGTGAGGACTTCCCTCTTCCTGGATCACCTTGCCCAGAAACCTGCCCAAATCTTTTTTGGCACTACTAGGGATAGAACTCAGGGATATGGCACTGAACTATATCCCCAGCCCTTTTAAAATTTTTTGTTTTGAGACAGGGTCTCCTTGAATCACTAAGTTGCCCAGGCAGGGCTCAAACCTGCAATCCTCCTGCCTCAGCCTCCCAGAGCACTGGAACAACTGTGCACCATCACATCCAGCCCCTCCTAGGTACTTTAACTTGATCTCTGTGATGTGCACACTGAAACCACAGCATGCAGGTGCTTGAAACTCCTCTCATTCCCAGTACCTGGGATGTCCATTATCATACAGTCGCCATCATCTTCCTCTTCCTCTTCTGTGTCCCCCTGGAAGCCATCCATGTCCCCAACTCCAATCTGCACGGAAAGGGACAGAGACCATCAGCAGGGAAGAGGGAGCAACCCCTAGCTGCTGGCCTCTGTCCTGTGACTCCTCCTTGTGCTGGACAGCCCTGAGCAACTGATCTGGGGGCAAACTGCACACCTGAGAGGTACACCAGGGAACCGAAGGCCAGAGGAAAGCCCTGGGTCCTCTGCAATGCACTAAACTCCTATCTCCGAAAGCCGCTACTATATTTATCTACCTCATCACAGAAGTAATTTGTGAATTACTTATGAACTAAAAAAAAAAAATTCTGGGTTCCTGGTTTGGCTTGAAAGCGAAATTGAGCCAGGGGTGGTGGTGCATGACTCATGCCAGCACTCTGGGAGGCTGAGGCAGGAGGACGGCAAGTTGGGAGCCCCTTTGGGCAACCTGGCAACTTAATATTGTTTCAAAGTGAAAAAAGTTAAAAAGGGCTGAAGATGTAGGTCAATATGGAGGTCCTGGGTTCAATGCCAGGTACCCCTCCTTCTGGGGGCTGTTGCCAAAACACACTTTCTCTGAACCTATCCATTTCAATACACAGCTGAGCACTCAGCGGGGCAGGGTGTGTTTGCGGCCATCACCCAGCCCCTCAGGCTGCTCTGCCTGGCCGGGCCCTGTCTCGGAAGCCCAAGGGATCCTGCCAAGGCAGCGGGAGAAAGAGGTCCACAGGCTTCTCCCAACCTGAGCGAGGACAATGGCAAGCACTTGCCTTGCATGTGTGACATTCGGGGTTCAATCCCCAGCACTGTAAAACAAAACCCCCAAATCTGCTTTCTGCTTGCCTAGAAATGGGGCAACAGGCAACGGCAGGGGCAGTTTGCACGCTGGTTCCTTGCCCTCCTGGGGCGCAGAGCCACTGAGTCCTGGCCCGAATGCTACACCAGGTTCCTGTGTACAAAGACGACCAGCGCCAAGGGCAGCGCTGGTGCCGAGGCTCCCAGGCTGCGAGCTTCCAGCCCTGCCGCCGCAGGGGCCTGTGTGCAGGGGGCAGGTCCATTTCCTCAGAGCGGCTCTGCCTGCCTCCCCCTGCAGGGGCAGTAGGTGTGCATGGGGGAGGTTTTCCCTAACCTCAAACACCGAACCCTCCTCCAGTGCCACAGACTGCACGCATGCCGTCACGGGGACCGGGCAGCACTCAGTCCCTCTGCTCAGAGCCACCAGCTGCTGTGGCTTGGCATCGACTGCCACTACCGCCAGGGCCAGAGGCGGGGGGAGAGGGGATGGAAACCCCAGCTGTCCTCCTGTCCACTTCTTGCGCTTGAGGTGGGGGCCTCGCTAAGTCGAGTGTCATGGCTTATATCTGCTCGTCTCCCCAAGACCTCATGTGCTCGGATCTGGGCCTGTGGGAGGGGACTGGGTTATGGGGTGCCTCCAAGGGCTTGGTGTTGGCAGTTGGCTCGGTGGAAGAGGTGGTCACTGGGGTGTATGCTGGAAGGGTCTAATTTTGGCACCTGGCTTCTAGCTTCTTTCTGCTTCCTGGCCGCCAGGGGGCGAGCAATTTTCCGTCACAGCAGCCCTTTCCTGAGCTGCATCTGCCCTGGAACTAGCTCACTATGGACTGAGCCAAATAAACCTAAAATAGGTGAGTCAAAATAAACTTCTCCTCCTTTAAACCGTGGGTGTCTGGGCACCGAGCCCCAGCAACAGGAAAGTGACTGAGACACGCAAGCTGTCCTTGAACTCAAGCTAACCTCCTGCCTTAGCCTCCGGTGTAGCTTGGGTAACAGGCACACACCACCATGTCTGCTTCCTCACATTTCGGTCTTGGGCTGTTTGGCTGGTGTGGCAAATGCAGTCTATTTAAAAACACTTAAATAAAAGCAGGGCCGGCTGGGAGTGGTGGTGCACACCTATAATCCCAGTACTCAGGAGGCTGAGGCAGGTGGATCACGGTTGAGTTCAAGGCCTGCCTGGGCTACAAAGTGAGCTGAACCCTAGCCTGAGCTGCATAGTGAAACCCTGTCTCAAAAAGGAAAAAAAAAAAAAAAAAAGCAAGGCCAAGGAGCTGGGGCGTCCTCAGGCCAGACCTGCAGCCCTTGCCTGCCGCAGCCACCCCCTAGGTCATTAATGCCTGAGGACTGAACACTGGATTCTCCAGCACTGAATGAGAACTTAGAAAACCGGAAAACAGAAAAAGCTCAGCACAATCAAACAGCTGTATGTGCACCATTTCCACTCAGGCAGCAGCCTCAGCTCCCCGACAGGGTGAGACCACGCCGAATGCCCAGCAGGTGCCCCAGCTGCTGTGCCCATCTGCATGGCTCTGCCACACCTGTAAGTCTATGTGCCACCCTGTGAAACACACCGGGGGCTGGCGAGTCCTCATCTCCCCAGAGGCTGGCAGCTACCAAGGGCAGTCAGTGGTCAGAAGCCAGCCCAGAGAGGCAGAGAGGGCCGGGGAGCGTGGGCACAGGGGATGCACTGCCCGGCACACCAGCCCAAGGGGGATCTGTGACCCTGCGCAGAGGATTTCCAAGGGGTCTTCAGGGACAAACACAGGGCCTCTCTCATCCACTGGGTGCCTGGTCAGCAGCTCTGGGTCAGCATCCAGCACACACTGGGCTCCTGCCTAGACCAGTGCCACTAAACTTCAGAGAGGTCCTTGCTGCAGAAAGGGAGTAGAAGGCACGCTGACCACATGTGGCTACAGTCACCAACCACCCTTAGCGAAGCTCAGCCTGGCTTGTGTGGCTGAAGCTCCTCACTGCCATGGGACCATCCACGTGCAGCCCTCGAGGCCCACGTCACTGCCCTCAGGCGGGGGAGCGAGACCAGGCACGGTGACCAGGGTGGCACCAAGGAGCCGCCCAGCTGCAGAGGCTTGCAGGGCAAGGCCCCTCCCTGTGAGACGGTGAGGCACACACGCGTCGTTACTTGTTTGTCCAAAGCCACAGTGTTCAATACTAAGGCAGAGACCTAATGTCAACTGACTGGGGGACGACGTGCAGTTGCCGAGGTCCAGCTGTCACAGACACACTCTGCTGGGACACAAGCCTACAGCGGCTCTACTTTCCCACCCACCAGCACTGCTCCAGGGGGCTCACCTGCCCCTCATGCCTCCTCTTCTTCATGAACTGCGTGATGCACATGCTGCCCGCCGACTTCCGCTTCAGCGACACGGGGGTCCCCTGGCTGGGTGGCGTGGCAGGGACGCCGCCACTGTCCTCTCTGGGGGCCGAGGGCACCATGGTGACGTAGCTCCACTGGCAGGGCACGGGCAGGTGCTCCTGGTGGAAGTTGCGCAGCACCTGCGGGTGGACGTACCAGCACATCCTGAAGTCGGGTCGCTTCTCGTACACCGAGTTCTCGGAGATGATGCGCTTGAGCCTGGCCTTGGAGGGCACGGCGGCGTCCTCGGTGGGCGTGTGTGGGCATGGGGTGGTGGGGCTTGGGGGATTGCTAGCTTCCCCGATGCTCAGCAGGCCCCGGCGGCAGTGCTCCTGGAACTCGCGGATGATCGCCTTGCTCCCGTTCACATTGCCGTGCAGCAGGGGCAGCAGCTGGGCCAAGACTGGTGGGACAGGGGGCACAGTTGGGCCTGAGACATGGAGTGCAGATCCCTGGGGGCCACAACCCTCTACAAGGTTCAGCTACAACCAGCTTCGGGGAAGGGCGAAGGGTGAACTTGGACAGCACTGCAGCACGCGTGGGCTCCAGACGCAATGCTGCAACCCCGTGGCAGGTGAGGCCGGCCCGGGTCAGATGGGTCCACACGGCCAACCTTTCTGAGTGGCCATCTCCCCTTGGTCCCCACAGTACTGGGGATGGAAGCCATGGACTTTGCACGAGCTACCTCCCCAGCCCTCTTGAGATTGGGTCTGGCCAATTTGCTCATCCTGGGAGTACTCTGTGCTGTGTCCTGGTGGTGATTAAAATGACCAGTGAAGACAGGGGATGCAGCCAGTGCTATGTAGAACAGCTGCTCAGCATTCACGAGGCCGCGGGTTCCATCCCCAGCACAAAAAGACTTCCCAGGCCTGAAGCTGAGGGGCCCCATGCCTGCCCCCACTCACTCTGCTGGTCCCTCTTTTCCCGCTTGGAGGCCTTGGGCGCCGGCTCGTCCTCGGAGGGTGCCGGCTCCAGCAAGCAGGCTGCGAACTGCTGCAGCACCTTGAGGTCGGCGGCTGAGCAGCCTGCACCGTCAGCCCACACGCAGCCGATCTTCACCGGCTGGAGCACTCGGAACCGCTTCCCCTTGGCCAGGAACTCATCCCACTCCTTGGCCTTGAGCTTCTGGCGCACCTTGTGCTTCTCTGGGTCAGCGCACTCCTTGTGGGTGAGAAAAGGAAGATTGTTTAGGGTCCCCGCTCCTTTCAGCTGGGGCTGAAGATGCCATCCCTTCTCAGCCCCGGGTGGGAATGCGGCAGGTGGAGCACTCCCAGGCAGAAGGACTGGTGAGTCAGATACTCTCAGGACCTCGCGCTGCACCTCTTCCTGCCATTTTTAATCTCCTGGCCTGTGGTCAAATCAATGCAACATCATGCGCCTTGCCCACACGGCCCTCTGCCCAACAGGTGTGCCAGGCCAAGCCTGCTCTACACTGGAACTGAGGGAGCACCACACCAGGGCACAGCTTTGCCTCCGCAGTCAGAGACAAAGGGACACACATACACCTTCGTGTCTGAGACGGTCCTGCACCTCAGACCGACAAACTACGGGCCCCCACCCAGAGCTGCTGTCCGGCCAGGTCCTGCACATGTACCTGGAGTCTCCTACACAGCCACATCCGATGGCCACACCAAGACAGACACAAGGTCAGGGTCAGCCATGGCCATAAATAACCTTCAGCCTAGGGACACTGTCCATGTCACAGTGGGGAGTGAGGTATGCAGACCGAACAGTCACTGGCCCAGGTCATGAGCCACCAAGCACTGGCCTCCCTACTAAACTCTTTTACACTATGTACCCACCCATTTTATGTTTAAAGCAGGGTCCTTTTTTTTGAGACATGGCGTTACCTACCATGTAGCCCAGGCTGTCCTAGAACTCAAGAGATCCTCCTGCCTCAGCCCCACCAGTGCTGGGGTTACAGGCACCTGGCTGAGATAAGGTCTTGCTAAATTGCCCAGGCTAAGCTGGAACTTGCTACCCTCCTGCCTCAACCTCCTAGAATGTTGGACAACAAGTATAGTACACCACTCTGGTTCCCAGCTGAGCTTTTTCTGAGCCAGTCCCCACCTCCTCACCTCAGTTACGCCTTCATCCTCAGACAGGTACCCATGGGGCACAAAAAAGCCATCGTCCTCATCTTCATCATCCACTTCGTCATCATCATCCTAGGAGGAAAGAATAACTATCATATGCAGGGACAGAGCATGAGCTTCATTTAAAAAACACAAATGAGCATTGTGAGTGCAGCTCAGACAATCCCAGCTCATGGGGGGCCTGGATTCCAACGCCAGCACCACACACAAGAGAGCTACTGTGCAGACATCCAGGGGGATTCCTACGGCATCAAGGGTCAGGGGAATCACTCTGGTCGTAGTGGGTGGGGGAGACAGAGGAGGCTGCAGCTGGCTCCTTGCACACTGCCAGGGAGGGGTTCTGAGGAAAGCCTCCAGTGTGAGTCTGGCCTGGGGCTATCACAGTCTCTGGCTGAGGGTTTACACCATTTATTCTGGCCGCCCTTACCCCTTCGCTGTGGGACAGTGACTCCCCAGGCTCCTCCTCTTCCCACTCTTCGTCACTGTCCACCTCATAGTCAAGGAGCTTCTGCAGGGAGACATGGGGCGTCACTACTGCTGTGGGCAGTGGAGGCACACAGGGCAGGCACAGAAGCCAGCGTGAGTATGGAATCCTCATGCTGAGGCCACAGGGACAGCCCGCTGGAGGTCGGGCACACGCGGTGTTCACCTTGTCCTGGGCCCAGGGGTCCCGAGGGCGGATGACTGCTGTCCTCTTATTCCACGTCCCCCAGTACGCAGGCCGGTGATTCTCGGAGAACTGCAGGAGCTTCATGCGGCCGAACTTCCTTCTTTCGGGCACGTCGTCACCCTTGCTGGTCCCCACAATCACCACATCCCTGAACAGCCAGATGGCACTCAAGACACGTCCCACAGCCACTCACATCCCAACCCCACATGCACACTCTGGGGCAGCTCAGGAGGCCTCCATGGCCATTCTAACAGGATGATGACCACTGACCAGCAGCCCTGCCTGTCCCCAGAGCAAGGCGAGGAGCCACCCTAGAACCAGGCTGCTGGCACCCAGGGGTGCTGCAGTCTATGCAACCCAGCAAAAGTAAGATGTGCTGCTCTACAGGGAACGGGGTTCCTCCTGGGGGACTGTGAAGACAGGATTTGGGGGCTCACGCTGGCAGGATGGAAGGAGGCCTGAGGCCTAGGAGATGAGGGGACAAGTGCCACCAGCCAGCAGCAGGAGGCCAGCCCTATTACTCCGCCCTGGTCCCTCGGGCTGAGTGTGATTCCGACCTAACCTGTTGATAGTGTCTGTGTCCTGACTGCAGGTCTCAGTGGGCCCAGACCTGAGCGGCTGGCGGCCTTTGAGGTCCTTCAGGAAGGAGAAATCTCCGCTCTGCTGCTGGAGGAGCTGGTCTAATCGATCACAGAGGTCCTGGTCCAAGGCGGCCCGACACCGAGGGGCCAAGACCATGCGCTCTTTAATCTCGAAGGGGGCAAACTTCCCACAGGAGCCGGCCAGGGTCTGAAACAGAGAGGCCCCGTGAGACAGAGGGCAGCAAATCAGACCCCACCTTTCCAGTGGAGAGGACATGCACGCAACATTCACAGGCGAGTGTGAGGGCTTAGGTGATCAGGCTGAGAGAGTGCTCAGAAGCTGGATTCGGCACGAGTCCATCTGCGCCCAATTCTTGAAAGACACAACAACAGGGGCATCGGGTGCGTGGGTTGGGTGGGAGTTTTTTGGGAGGACGGAAGCTTCCAGATCTTGATTATGTGGCCTGCTAACATCTGCCAAAACTATGGCAAGTCCTGGAAAGGGCGAATTTTATTGTATGCAAATCACCCCTCAACAAACCTGTATGGATACGTGAAGGACAAAAGGACAGATGGGTGACAAGACCCAAGACACAGAGATGGATGTGCCTACAACCCTCAGCTCCTCCCACACAGCAGCTCCTGCCCAGGGTAGGAAGCAGACCCAAGGGGAGTGACCGGCATACCAGGAGCTATAACAGGAAAATACAAAATGTAGGGCCAGGGATATACCTCAGCGGCATAAGTGCCTGCCTGGCAAGCACAAGGTCCTGAGTTTGATTTCTGGTACAAAAAAAAAAAAAAAGAAAGAAAAAGACAAAGACAAAGAAAAATATATAAAATGTTTACGGCACAGGCACATTTTCAATACTGTGGCCTGGCAGGATCCTGAAACACCACGGTAACCTTCTCAGCCTCGACGCATCACTGGTTCTGACAAATCCAATCCCTGCTCCCTGATCTCCCTCATGCCAATGCCTATGGATTCTGACGATGGCGGGTCAGGAGGAGGAGTAGGAGGGAGGAGGGGGCCATCTATGAGGCTCACACAGGAGACCAGCTCTGACCTCAGGAGGAAAGCACCAGCGCTAGCAGCTCCCCACAGTGGCAGAACACAGGAGCTCATGGGCAGTGTTAAAATCCCAGTGCCAACCGGGCATGGTGGCGCGCAGCTATAATCCCTACACTTGGGAGGGTAAGACAAATGGATCCCTGAGAGTTCAAGGACAGCCTTCGCTACACAGTAAGTTCCAAGTCAGCCTGAACTACACAGCGAGACCCTGTGTCAACACCGCCCCCAAACAAAAAACAAAAAACCCCACAAAACACAAACCACCAACAAAACAAAACAAAACAAAACACCCCACAACAAAACACCCCACCAAACCCTGGTGCCAACAGCAAAGCCAGCTGGGCTTCAGGACACTGGAAAGCTCCCCAGTGATTCCCACAGCAGCTAAGGCCGAGGTGGGCAGACGTCCTCACGGAAGAGGGCTGGGAACCTCTGCTGCCGCGTGGGAGAAACGGGAAGGCCAGACTCCAGACCTCATGTGAACACTAGGCGTCCCAGCTACGCTAAGGACCCGGATGTAAGAAGCAAAGACTGAGGTTAAACAAATAAAAAGGGGACGGGGATGCAGCACAGTGGAGGCCACTTGCCTAGCATGCGCAGGTCCTGGGTTTCACCCCCAGCACTAGCAAAAACAAAACAAACAGAAGTAACACCACTGGGTTAAAAATAAGGATTACAAAATAAATTAGGAGAATGTATTTACAACCACAGAACATAAGGCTTTACAACCAAAAGGCAACTGCCCTAACAGAGCAAAAATGATAATGCTAAAACAAAAAAGTGCCAGGCATGGTGGCACATGCCTGTAATCCTGGCTACTCAGGAGGCTGAGACAAGAAGATGGCAAATTGGAGCCTAGCCCGGAAAAAATATGGACTTAGAGACAATGCGTCAAAATAAAAAGGGCTGGGGATATAGGTCAGTACAAAGGCCCTGGGTTCAACGCCCAGCACCACAAAACAACAGCAAAAACCACACAAAGCCCCCCAGACTGAAGTGGATCTCTAGGCGCCATGACAAGAACAGGAGATGCAGCTAAGCTAAGCAGTGAGAACTCCCCTCCTGTTCTTTGCTTGGCTTCGCCCGCAGCACATTCTTGGCACCAGCTGAGCTCCATGAGGGACCTGCCAGCCTGTCGGGTCATCTGTGCAGAGGGATGGACCCAGTGGTCCCTGCCCACAGGCGGATAGGGCCTCTAGAGACAGGACGGGAGGCTGGGTCTCCACGTGCAGATGTTGGCCCAATGGCCTAAACTGCCAGGTGGTGGCACAAGCCCAGGAAAGTAGCACTTCATACCACTGTGTTGCGGCTGAGCCTGGGTATGGTGGACATCTGCTTCCCAGGTAAGGACCGAGCTGTGTGTGTATGTATCCCTGCTGCACTAGGGTTTCACACTGAGCTCTACCCCTAGACCTTCTTTTAAAATTTCACTTTGAGACAGGGTCTCACAAAGTCACCCAGGCTGGACTTCAACTTGCAATCCTCCTGCCTCAGCCTCCCAGAGTGGAAAGATGACAAGCGTGTGTCGTCTCAATGACATGTGGCTAGACTATTTTCTAACACCCATAACAAAGCTGTTCATCGAGCAACTTTTGAAAACTTGGCACTGTTATCATACATGCCTTTTGGGACAAAGCAAGTGACCAGATATTGAACCTCCAGACTTTTCCAGAAATAAAAGTGCCCAGGGTTTCCAGAAGCCCTGTCATAATGAAAGGGAGGGTGGCTAGTCAGAAAGTACCCTCAGGAGGGCTGGGGATTTAGCTCAGCAGCACAGCACCTGCCTGGCAAGCACAGGGTTGTGAGTTTGATTCCCGGTACCGGAAAAAACCAAAACAAACAAACAAAAAAGAGAGAAGATAACCTTAGGTTCTTAAAAACAGAAAAGCCTCAGAGCCTAAGTGAGAAGAGAGGGAAAGGAAGCTGCTGCTCACCTTGGGGGCCTGTGGGGTCTTTGGCTTCTGGAAGAACCTGGTGATTTCGGCTTTCTCTGCCTTAATGCGCTGCAAGGGGAGAGGAGAGGGAGTGGGAGGAAAAACGTGGGTTGAGACCTCCGGAAGAAACGCCCAAGCACCTCCCCGACGAAGGCACCATTCAGACATCAGTTCTGCACCCACCGACCCAGACTCAGAGGCCACAGCTGTCTTTGCAGGCAGAGGCATCAGGGTGCGAAGCAAGCACATGTATGCCAGAGCAGCACTGAGACGCGTTAATGGCTCACGGTCCCCACAGATCCCCAAGGCAGGACACAGGACAGCAACACAGGCAAAGATGCCATTTGCTACCTGGCCTGCCCGGCAGGGCTGGGAGCAGGGCAGAGAGTGCACGCTACCTTCTCTTCCTCCCGTAACCGTTTCTCCTCCTCCTTTTTCCTCTTCTCCTCCAGTTTAGCCCTGCAAGACAGCGAATCTTGTGTGAGCTAACCTCCTCCTTGGGTTGCAGCAGTGCCAGGAGCATGCAGCTATTGTGTCCAATAGTTTGTTTATTTGTTTATTTATTGTCTTTTTGAGACAGGGTCTTGCTCTGCAGTTCAGGCTGGCCTTGAGCTCACTTTATAGTCGAGGCTGGTCTTGAACTCGCAGTGATCCTCCTGCTTCAGCCTCCTGAGTGCTGGTTATAGGGGTGCGCCACCACACCCGGCCAGTAGTTTATTCTGCAGGCAGTGGTAATAAATTATTATGAATGTCTACTCTGGGGCTGTGACATAGATATTCACTAAGAAAAATGAAAAATACTCAATGCACTCAAGTGTAGGTGCCACTTGCCTGTCATCCCAGCACTCTGGGAGGCTGAGCAGGAGGATCATGAGTCCAAGCCCGGCCTAGGCAACTTAATGAGTAAGGCCCGGCCTCAAAATAAACAATAAAAGGACTGGAGATGTAGCTCTATGCAAAGGCCTGGGCTCAATACCCAGTACCAAAAAACAATGGAATAAGCTCTCAGTATAAATTCTGAAACCTGAAAAATAAATCTCATCAGCCAGCCAGTAATCAGTAGAGACGCAAACAAGAAAGCAGAAGGGAGTGAGTGAGAAGCAGGGTCCTGACAGACAGACAGCACCAGAGCCAGGCCTGGTGTCCTGCTCCTCCCACGCGGGGACTCCGCTCATCCCCGGCGAGAAACACGAGAACCAGCGAGCGGGGAACTGTTGTTCTGCCCTCTGAATGGGGCGGCATGGGACCAGTGGAGGGAGGCTGAGGCCAGGGCCGGCGGTGCCCAGCACCCACACACTCACTCCAGGGCCTCCTGCCTCTCCTTGCGCCGCTCTTCCTTGAGCCGCTGCTTCTCTGCCTTCTCTTTCTCATCCTTCTCCCGCTTCTTGCGCCTCTCCTTCTCCTTCAGCTCCTTCTCCTCCTCCTTCCTCTTCCGCGCCTCCTCCCTGGCACGCCGGGCTTCCTCCTTCAGCTTCTCCTTCTCCTCCCGCAGTTGCTCTCTATCCTAGGAGACGAAGTGACAGCTGAGATGGTGCCACCAGTGTGACTCCCCAGAGCCGCACCCCAGCCTTTGGGCCAGAAGCAACAGCAGAGATCCCAGTGCAGTAGAAGCCCTGGGGTCCATGCCCTTGGGCAGAATCTTTTGCAAACAGAAGGGAACCAAGAGATGGGGGGCCGGGGACAGGGCTTAGGGCGAAGGCCCTGGGCTCAACCACCAGCACCACTAACACAAACAAAACCAAATTCCCAGTCTGCCCTGATGGAGCTCAGCTCAGTCGAACAAAGCCACTGGGCCATGCTGAGAGATGGAGAGCTTCTTGCCAGGAACCCTGTGTATTACCATGGACACGGGAGCCCCAAGGGTGATGGACAGCACGGGTGCGCAAGACCACTGCAGAACTGCAGGTGGGAAGAGCTGTTCTCAGCACTAGGGAAGGAACCGAGGCCCTGAAAATCACAGGTATGGCAGATCTCCTCAGCCACACGGTGCTCTCTTTCCCACGGCACCAGCCCCAAGCGTTCTAAGACAAGGGAAGTTGGGTCTGGGCTACACTCAGCCGTGTAGCAAGCAGCCCTGGGCTCCAGCTCCACAACACGCACACAAAAAACACAACAAAATAAGAAACCACTCACAATCTGACCCTCAAAATCCGAGTGTGACTCTGAGGAGGGTCGGGAAACACTAGAGAAACAGCCTGGGCATCCTTTCCAGGAGCGGCAGGGGCTGGGGCCGCCCAGTGGCCTTCTCTGGGGTTTGCTGCACTAAGCATGTGCTGGGCGTGGGCACATTCCTGCAGTCTCAGCACTCCTGGGAGCTATGGCAGAAAGACTGCAAGTTCAAGCCCAGGCTAGGAAACTTAGCAAGACCCTTACGTATTACTTAAAAAAAGGTATGGGGATAAAACCTAGGGCCTTACACATGCTAGACAAGCACTCACCACTGAGCCCCACCCCAGCACTTTCAAAGGCAATTGTAAGCTATAGGATACCCAACCATAAAGCTAGGAGCAATACTTTTCTTCTGTTTTTGGTTTTTCTTTTTGGTTTTTTTTTGTTTTTTTTGTCCGGTACCGGGAACCGAACTCACGACCTTGCGCTTGCCAGGCAGGCGCTTTGCTGCTGAGCTAAATCCCCAGCCCCTGTTTTTGTTTTTGAGACAGGGTCTTGCTGTGTAGTTTACGCTAGCCTCGAACTTTTGGTGATCCTCCTGCCTCAGCCTCTCAAGTGTTGGGATTACAGCAGTACACCAATACTATTACTACTGCTAATAAAAGCTAAGAAGCAGCTGGGTGTAGTGGCACATGCTTATTATCCTAGCTATTTGGGAGGCTGAGGCAGAAGGATCCCAAATTCATATCCAGCCTGGGCAACTTAGTGAAACCCTGTCTCAAAATAAAAAAAGAGGGAGCTGGGGATACAGCTCAGTTTGAAGGCCTTGGGTTCAATCCATAGTACAAAGCAAAAACAAGGTTTAGAAGGGTCGAAAAGCCAGGCCTGGTGGTGCACACCTGTAATCCCAGTACTCAGGAGGTTGAGGCAGGCAGATCACTATGTATTTGAGGCCAATGTGGGCTACAAAGTGAGTTGAAGGGCAGCCTAAGCAGCATAGCAAGATCTGTCTCAGAAAACAAAACAGAGAAGAGAAGAGAAGAGAAGAGAAGAGAAGAGAAGAGAAGAGAAGAGAAGAGAAGAGAAAAGAAAAGAGCAGGGCAGGGCAGGGCAGGGCAGGGCAGGGCAGCCAGGGATGCAGCTCAGTGGCACAGTGTCTGCCTGGCAAGCGCAAGGGCCTGAGTTCAATTCTCGGTACCAAAAAAAATAAAAAAATAAAAAAAAATAAAAAGGGTTGAGAACTGGACACTGAAATCTTTTTTGTTGTTGTTTTTTTTGGGGGGGGGTTGTCTTTTTTTTTGAGACAGGGTCTCATTCTGCAGTTCAGGCTGGCCTTGAGCTCACTCTGTAGCCCAGGCTGGTCTCGAACTCGCAACGATCCTTCTGCCTCTGCCTCCCAAGTGCTGGGATTACAGGTGTGTGCCACCACGCCTGGCTGGACACTGAAATCTTAAAACCACATTTCACAAAGCTAAACTGATGAAATCCACAAGCTGTAGAGCCTATTTCCGTAATTGAAGCAAAATACAAACTGGTGGCTGGGACAGCAGGGCAAGGGACGTGGGACTGGTTCAACCCACTCCTCACTGCCCAAGGCCCCAGCAGAGTCCCGTTCCTTTTCTTTTTTTTTTTGGTATCGGGAATTGACCTCAGGACCTTGCACTTGCCAGGCAGGTGCTGTGCCTGATTCTACTGTAGGGAAAACATCTTACTCTTTGCAGTTTCAGCTTGCTCTTCTCTGTAGAACCTTTGACACACTTCTTGGTAATCTGAAATGAAAGATAATTACTTCTAAATATGGATTGTTTCAATCACTTTTCCCCTGGGAACATCATGATGGGGTCCCTAGGGAGAGGGAAGAAAGGATTAAGAGGCCACCACTATTAATGTCTTTAGGGGGGGCAGTACTGGGGGTTGAACCCAGGAACTCTGTACTGAGCTGCATCCTCTGCCCCTTTTATTTTTTATTCTAAGACAAGGCCTCACTAAATTGCAGAGGCTTGGCTCCAACTTGTGTTCTTCCTGCCTCAGCCTCCCAGGGTGCTGGGATCAGACATGCACCACCAGGTCCAGCTAAGAATGTCTTTGCAAGAACAAGCATCACAAGCCTTTCCCAGTGACCTGTTTTTGAAGCAGGCATGTCAGACCCTCACAGTGGGACCGCACACAGCAGTGAGTGCACATGCAAGTATCAGGAGCAGGGAAGCGGGGGGCTGGGCAGCAGGTAAAGGGCTGCTGGGAAACTGGGCAAACTCATGAAGTGGAGCCAGCGTAACAGGATGCAGTGGGATCTGTGCCAGATGAGGCCGGCCCCGCCTGTCTGAAGGGGAGAGGGCTCCAGTAGGACTGAGGGTCCTGCTATTTCTAGAAGGGGCTGACACTGGGAATTTTCACTTTTTAGGTACTGTCTAAAATTTCACACTGCGGGCTGGGGATTTAGCTCAGTGGCAAAGCGCCTGCCTGGCAAGCACAAGGTCGTGAGTTCGGTTCCCGGTACCGGAGAAAAACCAGAAAAACCAAAAAAAAAAAAAAAAACTAAAATTTCACACTGCGTACATCAGTACGTGTGTGGGCTTGATTTTGGGGGGCTTCTGCTTGCTACTCTCTCCCTAGTGCAACTACGTTTTTCTCCTTTTTGTGGTACTGGGGATGGAACCCAGGGCCTTTGCACTGAGCCCTTTTCTTTATTTTTTATTTTGATATAGGGTTTCAAAATTGCCCAGATTGGACTTGAACTTGTGATCTTTCTTCCTCAGTTTCAGAGTGCTGGGGTTGGGCCAGGGATACAGCTCAGTGGCGCAGTGCCTGCCTGGCAAGCTCGAGGTAGTGAGTTTGATCCCTGGTACAAAAAAAAGGTGAGGGCAGTGAGGAGATAGCTCAGTACTATCAAAAAAAAAAAAAAAAAAGCTGGGATTACAGGCACGTGCCACTCAGATCAGACAGGGATATGAATAAGGAGTTCATGAGCCCAGGCACCAGCCAAATCAAAGGGGCAGAGAAGAATGGGGACAGAGGTTAAACCTGGCAAGAAAGAAATGTATGGGGTCCTGTTAGACTGGCAGAGGCAGCCAAAAAAGGTGGTCAAAGTTAGTTGCAGGCCAGGGATATAGCTTAGCGGCACAGTGCCTGCCTGCCTGGCAAACATGAGGTTGTGAGTTCCATTTCTGGTATATATATATATATAAAGGCTCAGTTGCAAAACCAGACATCAATATCCTTTGAAAGGGTCCCACAGGTCAACAAAACTGTGTTCCAGTGAATCTTTGCTTTAAGGGTGACCACTCACTGTTGGCAGGGGCCCTATCGCCAAGGGGGGGGCAGGGGGGAGGTCTGAGCCTGTCCTGGGCAAGGGATGACAGTAGCCTCGCCAACGTGAGGAAGAGGCCTCTGTCCTTCAGAATGTATTTCCCATGCCAAGCCAGCGCAACTCATCCCACACTGCACACCATGCGAGATTGGACAGAATAGAATGGTGGCCCGTCTGCGGGTCTAGCCAAGCTTAGGGTTAACAAGAACGGGCGACCTGGGCAACTACCACCTACTTTCAGACCAGTATCACCAAGGCTGTTCTAGCACTAACACACACACACACACACACACACACACACACACACACACACACACACACGGCCCTTCATGGTCTGATAAAATGTTATCTTCTTGAAGTAGGACTGAGTGTTTATAGAGCTTGCTCTCCAGTGGCGTGTAATCCTGGCACAGTGGCCACCTGGAGCTTGGCCAGAGCATGACCATCCGGCCAAGGCCGGACCCAGGCTCCCAGGAGGAAGCACTGCACAGATTCAGCCTCTTGCAGCAGGCAGGCCGAGCCTCCCTGTGTCCACGCATCCAAATCGCAGCACTCAGTCTGGGGGGAGCCTCTCTGGGCTGGGTGCTTCTGATTTTCTGAAAGGGCAGGAAGCAGCTGCTACAGGGGCGCTGAGCTTCCCAGAGAATGAACAGCGGGGAGACAAGGTAGAGGGGAAGAGAGAAAACCCCAAAGTGGCCCATCCACGTTGGAGTGCTCCATTTTGATGAGCCAGCCGAGGGGAGGCTGTCTGCGCACAGCAGCCCAAGGCTGTGCAGAGGAGCGTGTGACAACCATCACGTGGCCAACGCCAAGCATAGGAAAGACAGAAACCTGCGCCAGTGGGAATGACCGCTGCCACACTGTAAGAGTGTAATGGACCAGTGAAAGGGAGACGTGTCCCTCCACGCCAGCCCCAAGGGATGTATCTGAGGTGAGGAGACAGAAGGATGGTGTGAATTAAAGGTGCTCTCTCACACGCTGAGGACATGGACAACATAAGACGCAGCCTCAGGGGAGACCAAGGAGGAAGCTGCTGGAAGACTACCATATTTAAAAGCAAAAGATAAAATGGGAGAATACTTGTTTACAGCGGCCCCCTGGGGCCCCAGTGGATACCAAAACCATTGAACGATGGAGTCCCTTAAATAAAATGCCCTAGCACGTGCATAGAACCCACACACATCCCCCCCGGGGACTTCCCATCACTTCCTGTGGATACAGCATCAGTGTTTCCTCAGCGGTTACTGTACTATATTGTCTGCCAGGCTCAGTACCAGTGCAACTGTCTTTCTCATGTTTTTGGTTTTGATTTTCTATGGTACTAGGGATGGAACTTAGGACCTTCACATTGAGCTCCATCCCCAGCCCTTTATTTTGAGACAGGGTCTCACTAAGTCACTCAGTTGCCCAGGCTGGGGTCAAATTTGAGATCCTCATGCCTCAGCCTCCCAAAGTCCTGGCATTTCCAAGCACTTCTGACACATGGTTGGCCCAATCCACAGATGTGGAACCTGCAGAGATGGAGGGCTGACAGTAAATTCCAGGATATGAGAAATGTCCTTGCTACATGGGCTTATCTGGCATAGAGGCAAGGCAGATTCCAGCAGCACAACTGTATTCCAGCTCCAGCATTTATGCAATAATAATCTTACATCACCAAGAAAATAGGGTAAATTACAGACACACTTGAGGAATGCCCGAAGTGCTCAAATGTTAGTCAAAAACCCCTGGGATTATCCAAAAAGTCTGTTCCAAACTATTGTTTTTCAAAGTGAAAGTCCCCAGATCCCAGAGTACTTAAAAAATAACTGCCCCTCAGGCTGCCTGGGAAGGGAGAGGGCAGGATGTGTATTTCTAACAAGCTCCCATTTTCCTGTATTCAAATCAAAACAAAACAAAAGCCACAGAAGAGTCCTAATGATAATTCAGAAAATGGGGGCTGGGGATTTAGCTCAGCAGCACAGCGCCTGCCTGGCAAGCACGAGGTCATGAGTTTGATTCCTGGTACCAAAGGAAAAAAAAAAAGATAATTCAGGAAACCCTAACTGGGTGTCTCCTTGTACAAAGCAAAGGGTATAAGGCCACACTTCTTAGGTATCAGTGAAGTGTGATCCTGTAAGAAGTGACACGACAGAAGGGCTGAGCTGGAGGGAAAGTAGACAGCGAAAGTACTTCCCACGTGCCCCCCGCCAAGACAGGAAAAGGTTTTAGAGTTAGGTACCAACTGTGAAGTGGAAGAAACAAACCCATCAGGAAATTCAGTAGATGCCAGAGGCAGGAGAGCTGCACTCCTGCAATCTCAGCCCTGGGAGGCTGAGGCAAGAGGATCTCATATGAGCCCAGACTGGGCAACTGATGACTGAGGGAGACCCTCTCTCAAAAAGTAATAAAGGGCTGGGGATGTAACTCAGTGCCAAGTCCCTCTTTCAGCCCCCCACATCACAACACAAACAAAAGAAAAAGGAAAAGGAATTTAGTAGAGCGGGCTCTCAGGATCAGAGTACTGCATTTGCAAAATCACCTGAGAGCAGGTGGAAAGTATGGGGGGGGGTATCCGTGTTAAACAGATGTTTCCCCTTGTTCATTCTCTAAGCAACACAACACTAGCTAGCACATACACGCTGCTTTACACATTATGAGCTGCTCTAAAGTCCCCAGGAGGCTGTGCACAGGCTTTGTGCAGCCAACCCCATCTTATGTAAGGCACTTGGGCTTCCTGGAACAGTCGGCGGAGGATGTTGAAGGATACTGCTAGCTTAAAGGCACCGGGCAAAGTGGGCTGCGTCTCAGGGCTCTCTGGGCATCAGAACCCCCAGAGGTCTCCTGATAATCATTCCGCACCCCTCTCAGGCCTCTGGTGCCCGCTAACACCTCCACCCAAGAGATAGACCCAGACCCAGACCCAGGCCCAGGTGGGCAGCTGTGACTGTAGTCTCTGGCAGTTGAAGTCTTCACTGCTTACAGTGTAAATTACTTAAAAAGTCTCCAGCCCAATACTGCCTTTTAGTGTATCCTGAAACCTGGGGCACGGGTTCAGCGTGAGATCCGGCATCTTCAGCGCACATGTCTGTGCAGGAGTGTAGCTCAACAGTAGAGCACATGCCTAGCATGTGAGACAGCCTGGGTTCAATCCCCAGGTATGATTAAAAAAAAAAAAATCTCAGGGGCACATTTCCTTAATTTTGTACACTTGGTACACAGCCTCTGTTGTACTAAAAAAATGAAGGTTCTGGACAAAAGTAAAACTGCTTCACCACACACCTCAACTGTAATTTAGCTTCAGATGTAAAAAGCGAACTGAACGTAAACACGTCCATGCAATTCGTCACGTGACTACCTTGTTTCCCAAACTGCTGCAAAAGCCCAATTAAGGTCCAAGCTGTCACATGCACCCGGCTTTACTCCCCAAAGGGGTGTTTCAGTCAGCTTCACTTAAATATACAAGAAAAGAGGGTTTCCTTT